TTTTTTTTTGCATTTAGATAATCCTCAGAAATAAGGGCAAATTCTGTTGAAAAGAGATTTATTAGATTATAAACTCCCTGAGGACTGAGGCTTATAAGTTCACCGCTGTACTTTCAGATCTTGGCATGTAGTCAATGCTCAACATTCATTATGTGAATTGGTGGTGATTGCAAAGGAACAACCACAAAGTTTTGTTACCTGAAATTTTGTTAAAATAAATTGTTAAATGGCTAGAAGCACATTTCCAGCCTAGGGAAAAAAAAATATCCAGTGACAATCTATAATGAATAAATGAAAGAAAACAGTATTAAATTGTAGATAAGCTGTAGATATATTCCTTATATGTTTGCACAGTACATTTGGTTAATAAACTTGAGTTCTTTACGGTTAGTAAGAGGGTTCTTAAATGTGTAGAATTTGGAAATCCAACCATTTTACAGCTTTTCTAGTGTTTTTACCAGTACACCTGATGGCTGTTTACATATATTTATGCACTTATTACATCAACAAAACATTGACAAGTTCTATGGTGCCAGGCACTTTACTATAAGGTATGGCAATGGTTGTGAGGCCTTATAATCTAATGGGGGAGACATGGTAAATAGCTAGTTATACAAAAAGTGTTTAACAAACATACAGGCTTATTGGTGGATATGTTGAGGTGAAACTAACCTTGCAAATAAAAGTTAAATAAAATAAAAATGTATGTTATGAGTCTTACTGTGTTAAAGGAACTTAGAATAATTTTAAGTTGCTAATACTTTATAAATTATAACCTCTTCTGTGCAGAAGAGGTACAGAAGATGATTAGATGCAGTTTTATCAATATGAAAAGGTACTTTCGTTTTTGGTAGTTTATTATTGCTTATTTTAATATCATATGCTAACATATGTTATTTCATTAGACAACTGTATTTTCTTTAATAATGCTATCCTATTTGATCTGCTTTCTAAATGAGTATGTGTATTAATATAATGATCAGGTTTTTCTTTAAAGTTGCAGCCATGTTTAATTTCCTTTGTCAGCACAAATTTGTGTTATTCTTCAAATGTTTGTATATTTTTCTTTATGAAAATGAGGTGATTTTTAGAAATTCTTTCCTATTGGAAATTTGGAAAAATTTTTACTAACAAAATGATTGAATTATAATCCAGAGCTCTAAGGTTTACCTTAGGAGAGAAACAGCTCTATTTTGTTACACTCCAGGGGAGTAAAGATATTAGTTACACTACTGAGTGTGGAATTTGCAGGTATTTTTTTCTTCTCTGAATGTGGGTATTCCCTAAAGTTGCATGCATTGCTTTTACTCTTCTTATTGCATTTTTACCCTCAAGCCTCATTTGTTTTTTTTTTTCCTTCCTATGAGATCAAATCTGCTTTCATTTACTTATTTTACAGTAAGTTTAAATCCTTGAGGGATTTACATTATTCTATGGATTCTGTGTCCAATGGTTTTAGTAGGAAGATTGCTTCAGAATTTGGCATGCTTACTTTAGTGTTATCCAGATTGCCAACAGGAGTTACATATAAGCACATCTCTTGCCTAAACGGAATTTAGATTTGTCTCAAACATAAATATCTTCAAATTTAAGAACAATTGTAGACTTCCTTTGGTTCTGGAAACCCTACTTACAGTTAGCACAAATGTCCTTGAGCCAAAGCCTTCTAGCCATATTTTTTGTTGTTCTTGTCCATATACAATTAATTTTTATTTTATTTACTCATTTTATCATATGAATATTATGATAAATGAATGTTAATCCATTCATCTGTATGATGATATATATATATACATATATAATAATTCCTGAATATAATTCAGGAGTATAGGTTCAACTTCTTTAGATGTATGTTACCATACTGCATATACTACCCAAAGCACCCATAGTTTACCTCCATTGTCTGTTGGACTTCCTCCTCTGTTTACCCTTCCCCTCTGTTTATCCTCTCCCCCCTTAGTCTTTGTTTTAGTGTTTTAGATTGCTAAGGTTGATTTTTGTTTAAGTTTTGTCAGACCCTTTGTGTTATTTTTCTATACTCTGTACACGAATGGGACCGTTAGACATTTGCCTTTCTCCTGGCATATTTTGCTTTCCATAATTTCTTGTAATTCTATACATATTGTTGCAAATGAGGGGTGAATGCCATGTTTTTAGAGCTGCATTGTATTCCTTGTGTGTATGTGTGTGTATATGTATATGTATATGTATATCATCATATAGATGAATGGATTAACATTCATTTGTCTTTGGATATTGAGGTTGTTTCTATAACTTTAATAATGTAAATAGTGCTCCAATGAACATAGGAGTGGTTACATATCTCCAAATTAGTGGTTTTGTATTCGGGGGTAAATATCTAGAAGTGTAATTACTGGATCATATGGTAGATATATTTTTAATATTGTGAAAAATTACCATACCACTTTCCATATACACTGAACTAGTCTACGTTTTCATCAACAGTGTGTACGGGTGTTCTTTTTCTCCACATGTCTACTAATTTTTGTTGTTTCTGGACTTTGTGATATGACTTTCACAGATATGAGATGGTATCTCATGTTGATTTTGATTTGCATTTCCTTGGTGATGAGAGATAGTGAGCATTTTTCCATATGCTTATTGATCTTCTCTATATAGTCTTAGAAGAAGTGTCTGTTTTGTAGTTAATGAATTATGTGGGTGCTTTCTGTGTCTTGGATATTCAATCTATGACAGATGTATGAAATGCAGATATATTCTCCCTTTCAGGAAGGTGTCTTTGTTTTAGTGATAGTGGTTTTTTTTTTTTTGTAAAGAAGCTTTTGAGTTTGATGTAGTTCTACTTGTTTATTTTTGCCTCTGTATAACTGTGGGAATCAAATCCCCAAATACAACCCTGAGGTCACTATCATGGAGTGGTTTGCCTGTGTTTTCTTCTATGTATTTTTAGTTCCCAGTCTTACATTCAGGTCTTTAATCCATTTTGGTTTAATTTTTGTGTGTGATATATGATGGTGGGCCAGTTTCATTCTTTTGCAAATAACTGTCCAGTTTTTAGCACAATTTGATGAGGAGACTTCTTCCAAGGCTTTAGAAGTACTGTTTTCAGCAGGCCTAAATAATTTGCCATTTATTTATTATTTATAATGGCAAAATAACAAAAATGGAAGGATCTCAGCTTTGTGTTATACTTTTGAATGTTAGCAAAATGTGCATAAGTAACTTCAGTGAGAGTATGTTTGAAGACTCACTGCCTAAAATCTTACTTATTCTCATAACTATCTTCATCATTTTGATGGTGATAGTGGCTAAATTTCTCTTGAGTTAATCTTACTTTTTTTTTTAAAGATTTATTTATACATACAGAACTGGGGTATAGGCCAGAGGCTCAGGGGTGGTGAGAGTCTTCACCAGAGACAAAGTGGGGAGCAAAACAGGCAGATGGATGAAGTACACTGCTGAGGGGGAGCAGCGTGCGGGTCAGGAGAGGTCTGCTGCGCCATGTGGTCACCTCCTGGGCAGGCGGGAATTGAACTCATGCAGAAGTAGCTTTAGCTTCTTAGTGCTGTGCTTTAACCTGCTGCGCCACCAGGGAGGGCCTAATCTTACATTTTTAGCAAATTTTACTAAAAATTTCTTCTTGGATATTTAATAATCAGCAATGTTGAATTGATAAGAACTGCCATCTTAACATTTTTATATTTTGTAAACATTCTTTCACAGTATAATTGATCTACTGTAAACATCACTCAAACTGTACAAATCAGTGATTTTTTGGTACTCATGTACTATCACTCTACATTCATATTCCTGTCCACTGAAAATGAAATTATGCAAGCCCAGGGAATGTCACGGTTTGACGTTCTTCACCTGTGTGCTTATAAGTGCAGGACATGACTTAGGCTCAGGATACAAGGACAATGGACTTTATTAATAAAGGAGGAATTGGAGAAATGGAGTTTTTCAGGCCACCAGTGGCTGGCTATCCTATTCTAGATAGTCTGCAGTGTCCAGGAATCCAAAGCAAAGACTTCTCATACAAGGTAATAATCTACTTTTAAGTAGATTCAATAGCTGGTAGTACACTAGTAAGACACGGGTCAGGATCCAATTTATAGTTGCAGTTGGAGGTGATCACGCCTCTGCCTGCTGCTGAAGTGGCACTGCAGTAGTTAACAGCAGCTATCCAGAGCCTGGGCTGGGCAGCACTAAACACTGAACTGGATAGCACCAGAAGTGATTCCAGAGAATCAGGAGTAATTTGCAGCTCTCAGAGGGGCTGGGCATAGGTGGCTCTGCTGGTCAGCACTGCTCATCAGGTGGTAGAAACAGAGGCACCAGTCACCAGTGTTACAACTCTTGGAGATGTCAGGCATTAGCTAATGGCAGACAATGCCTGTAGAAACACTGTGCCATTTATCAGGCAATGTTTTAGGTAGGGCCAGAGGCAGGAATAGTGATCAGGCCAAAGTTTTAAGCAGAGAGCAGATGTGGAGGTCTGTGGAGACTTGTAAAGGTATTGAAGACTCCAGATAAGTGTGTCTGAAGCTGTCTGATGAATCCTATCTGATGAATGGGCTCATATTAACGGCCACCCTGACTTATATTCCCCTCAAGGTCACCATCTTTCATGGCTGATTGGTCCTTTTGTAGTTTTAGGGGTTTGACTTATATCATTCAAGCTCCAAACATTGGTCTGCTTACAATCTTGGATGGTCTCAAAAACATGTAAGGATAAATTGTGTTTGTATATTTGCTGAGTTCTTTCATTGACATTGAACTGGTATACTCTTAAAGAGTAAATTTGAATTTAATGATAGATTTGGTTTTCCCCTTTTAAATTGTTCCTGTGACTTTCTGTTAATTATACAATGTGGGTTTCAGTAATATAATAAATTGTGTCCATGGAACAGCATATATAATGATACTATTTTTAGAATGAGGAGTTTTGTTCATCTTTAATGTGACTATAAATAAATAAGAATATTCAAAGATGAATTTTTTCATTTTTCTAACAGGGTCAACATATTTCATCAGCTCCTATTCAAAAACTTGAAGAAGCTTTATATGAATACCAGCCATTGCAAATAGAATCATGTGGCCCACAAGTTCCTGAACTTGAACTGCTAGGAAGACTTGGGTAAGTGCTAAAAAAAAAAAACTTTCCGTTGAGGAGCTGAGTTTTAGTGCTTTGTGATTGCCTTTTTTAGCTAAAAATTTTTTTTTT